AAACAGGAAAAAAACCACGGGGGAAAAAAAGCCTTCACCCTATTAATAATTCTCTATGTCTTTGACCTAACCTGACTCATACCAAGGTTAACCATCATGATGTGGGAAGGGGAAACGCATATCTTTTAACAGACAAGTTAAATAGGAGCAAGCTGCTATTTGCTCTGTTGCAGTTTAATAAGCCCAAAGTAAAAGGTGGAAGACAGAGTGTTGCTTTTGTAACATTTTCCTGCTGCTGAAAATTGAAAATATCAAAGAATCGAATCACAAAAAACGTGCAGGAATGGGCTGTGCTAGGAATTGAGGCAGGGAGTATAGAGACTGATCTCGTAGAAAAGGAATAAACTGGTCTTTTATCTTCTGAATACAGTTTCAGTAATTTTTATGCATTCCAGCTAGAGTAGAGCATTTGAATGGAAAAAAAAGCAGTGGAGGATGCTGAGGCAGACGTAGAAGGGGCCGAAAACTAGCATACGGAATGATGAAGTGAAATTCTTTACAAAAATAGTTCTATTTTAGATGTAGTAACTTTTAAATTAAAAGAAGATCTTATAAATTCCTTCCTGATGAGATAACATGGCAATGGTTGTAGTGTACAGATGGTGCAGTTTGTTTACTAACTATATTTTTTACGTCAGTTGGCAGTAACATTTTAGTAATACCTAAATATGCATCTTAAGTGCCTCTCTGTAGGCATCTGTGCTGGAAAATTCAGGCCATGGTTGCTTTGAACCGCTTCAACTGCTATTTTCTTTAAAACCTTATAGTATGGCTGTAAAAATAAATACCCTCTAGCAAAATCAAGAGGGACTGTGTTATTCTAGTTTTTATGACGATTTAATTGGAAGAGGATGGATTTGAAGCATTCAGTGAAATCAGATCAAAGTTTGAAATAAAAATTTCAGAATAATATGAATTACTATAAAACACTTCATCTCTCTATGAAATGAGCTCGAATCAGAGATCACAAACATAATAAAAGGACAGCTGTCACATCCGGCTTTCTCAGGTACACTGTTTGGGTTTTATTATTTTTTGTTGATTCTAGAGTAAACAGCTACCTGAGGGTTATCCTCTGCATTGCTGAATGTTTGTATGTAATGTCATGCCAAAATATTTCATGCCTACTATTTCGCCACTTCACATGTCTGTGCAGGACAGATTCTGATCTGTACAAGTAACATGCAGATTCAAGTTTGGCTCAAAGCACGTCTTGACAGTGTGCACTGGATCTTAATTCCACGGAGTGATAAATTGTAGGTTAGTTCCTCAGTGAAAGAACTAGATGATGTTTACCGATTTGGTGTTCACTTTTGAATGCTTTGCAGAATAGTGTCTTGAATCTAAAATGCTGAATGAACAGACCTGTCATGAAGTTTGTGACTTATCCTTCATTCGTATTGTCTTCATCAAAAGAAGTTTTGTCTTTGAAAGCAACGCTGGCAAAAATAACAGTGGGCTCCCGCTGCAAGGGGAGGTAGTGCAGCTGTGGTGGAAGTCCTGCCCCTTGTTGGCTTTGAACTGCGTTGGGATATATGCTTTCATGCCTTGCGAGTTTGTGTAAGTGCTTAGGGTTTCTTCCAGGTCCTTTCTGATACCCTGTGAAGGATACTTGATGGCTGAGGGACCAGCACTGAAACTTCAGATTGTAGCGTGAAGCACTGAGTGTACAGACAGCAGTCGTCTGTCAGGGAGAGCTGTGGCTGCTGGCAGTTTTTTGTCATTATTTTTTTGTCACTCTCCGATGTTGCCTGTCTGAGACTTTGATGTACTCTTCCTTCTTCGTACAACAACCACAATCCTTCTTCTTCTTTGTTGTTCCTTACTTTCCTTTTTCACTGGGAAAACTGCACATCTACTTACAACTAGCAAAAAAATGAACATACAGTTTGTGTATGCAGTCAATTCACCACTGACTGTAATTAGCAAAAAGAAACCAGAATGCATTCATTTAAATACTTAATTTTCTAAATTCCGGAACTTTGTATGTAGTTATTTTTAACCTGGTTTCCTAGGG